TGCAAGCGCCGCCTCCCAGGTTCACGCCATTCTCCTGCCTCAGCCTCCCGAGTAGCTGGGACTACAGGCGCCCCCCACCACGCCCGGCTAATTTTTTTGTAGTAGAGACGGGGTTTCACTGTGTTAGCCAGGACGGTCTCGATCTCCTGACCTCGTGATCCGCCCGCCTCGGCCTCCCAAAGTGCTGGCATTACAGGCGTGAGCTACTGCGCCGGGCCAAATATCTCTATTTCTTAGGATTGTTGTGGGAATTCAAGAACATAATCCACGCAAAGCACAGAACCCAGTGTCTAGCATGGAGGAAATGCTCAATAGCGGTGAACTATGCTTCTTATTATTATGGGTAAAGCACCTTCTGGAGTGCTCAGCACACAGTAGGCACTCTGTAGATAGATGGTGCCAAATGTTACTGACTTAGCCTTCGTGGAGTCATGTTCAGCTGCTTCTAGGGCAGTGCAGGGTTCTGGCTCTGAGAGCGTCTCCAGTTTCCAGGTTTGGTGCTGTACTGACGCCACCCAGTGGCCACCATGGGCTACTGCAACCCCAGCCTTGGCTAGTACCTTGCTCCCGGGTTATCCTTCTTGACGCCATCCAAACCTTAAGAGCCTTGTTCATTCCCTTGGAAAACCGGGAACACTGGAGACAAAGAAGAGGAAATGGATTTGAGAGATAATCCAAGAATGTGGGTTCAACAGACTTTGTGATCAATTATATATCCAGTGGGGAAGGAAGACGAATTTGTCTAAAATAGTGGTTCTCAAGTAGGGGTGATTTTGCTGAAAAGGGGACATCTGGCAATGTCTGGAGACATTTTTGGTTGTCACAACTTGGAAGGAGGGATGCTATTGGAATCTAGTGGGGATAGACCAGGGATGCTGCCAAATATCCTACAATGCACATGACAGCCCCCCCAATAAAGAATTACCCAGTCTCGCCAGGCACAGTGGCTCACGCCTATGATCCCAGCTCTTAGGGAGGCAGAGGTGGGAGAACAGCTTGAGCCCAGGAGTTCAAGACCTGCCTGAACAATATAGCGAGACCCTGTTCTCCACAAAAAAGGAAAAAAAAAAAAAAAAGAAAAAGAATTACCTAGTCCAAAATGCCAAAGTGCCAAGGTCAAAGTAACCCGGTCTAGACAGTCTAACCTGGTCATTCACTGCATCAAGAAAAGCTGTGAAAAACCTGTCACATGAACTATCACTACTGTGTCCAGTTCAAGGATCAGGTAGATCTGACGACAATCCTAGCCAGGAGCTAGCACAGCCTATGGAATTCTCTCAAGTCAAGGAAGGGGAAACATTACAGATCATTTATTTCTTCAACTTACAACATTTATGAACACAATACATATATTTAAACTATTGCTGACAGTGTATGTGGTTATTAATCACACTGAAGGACTTAAACACAGAATATAAGTTATGTTAACTAGAAATTCTCAAAGTAGGCCTGGCGCAGTGGCTCACACCTGTAACCCCGGCACTTTGGGAGGCCTGGCAGGAGATTGCTTGAGCCCAGGAGGTTGAGACCAGCCTGGGCAGCATAGAGACCCTATCTCTTAAAAAAAAAAAAGTTTTTAATTAGCTGGGCATGTTGGCACACACCTGTAGTCCCAGCTACTCAAGAGGCTGAGGCAAGAGGATCACCTGAGCCCAGGAGGTCAAAGATGCAGTGAGCCATGTTTATGCCACTGCTCTCCAGCCTGGGTGACAGAATTAGACCTTGTCTAAAAAAAAAAAAAAAAAAAAAAAAAAGGTGGGGGAGGTGGAGGGGCGGGCGCGGTGGCTCACGCCTGTAATCCCAGCACTTTGGGAGGCTGAGGCGAGTGGATCATGTGGTCAGGAGATCGAGACCATCCTGGCTAACACGATGAAACCCCTTCTCTACTAAAAAATACAAAAAATTAGCCAGGCATGGTGGCGGGCTCCTGCAGTCCCAGCTACTCGGGAGGCTGAGGCAGGAGAATGGAGTGAACCCAGGAGGCAGAGCTTGCAGTGGGCTGAGATTGTGCCACTGTACTCCAGCCTGGGTGACAGAGTGAGACTCTGATTCCAAAAAAAAAAAAAAAATCTCGAAATAGGTCACATAATCTTAGAGTTCAATTAGGAGATCCTTTGGATTTCCTTGCAGAAAAAAAGCAGTAACTGTGAACCAAGGAAAAGATTCCCCTTCTCGTGCTTCCTAGTATTTGCTATAACAAACTTGGGAATCAGTCAGATCCTTGCCCTTCCTTTAATATCTGCTCCACGCTGCAGAAAATGTGCAGTCAGAAAGCAGGTTAAGGGCTCCACTTAGTGGGAAGCAACAAGACCAGGAGATCAGGCAGGAGAACCAGGAGCACAAGGCTTTCTCTTGTGCCTGTAAAGGGAAGAAATGTCTCAGAACATGGACAAATGAGACTTTTCCAGCTCCACCCTTCTGTCGATAAACCAGGCCTGGCCTGGTGGCTCACACCTGTAATCCCAGCACTTTGGGAAGCCAAGGCAGGGGAATTACTTGAGGTCAGGAGTTCAAGACCAGCCTGGGCAGCATAGCGAAACCCTGTCTCTACAATAATAATAATAATAAAATAAAACACAAACCAGACAGAGGGGTTTTCGGGCCCACTCCTCTAGATTCTCATTTGAAATCCACTCTCACCACTGGGAATTCCTGTGACACTCCAAAGATTCCAAGGATATTATCTTTTAGTTCCTTTCCTCTCCATTGGAAATTCCAACCCAAGAAAGTCTCAAACTGCTGCAGCTGTAAAACCTGATGAACGACTCAGTTCCTCCACCTATAGGCCTTTGTACTTAGGGCAGAAAGTCCTCAACTCTGAACGACCTTGGCACCCCGGGTGCTGCTCCCTATGTGAGAGAGACCTTTCCTATCTGGGCCTGGCAGTCCTCTGGCCATTAGGGGAACCCTCTGTGCTTGTCTTTCTCCACCCCTGAAAGTATCTCCGAAACGCTATTTTTGTGACATTCTCCACCCAACATGGCTTTGCAAAATATGTGTTCTACTCGCAGGTTGACTGGTGTTCTGACTCTTGATGAAGTTACCAGGGTCTGGTGGGAATCATTTGATCCAGATGTGAGGTGGCATCTTTCCTCTGCTGGCCTGTTTACCTGACCATCCTGTTTCCAGTAAGGCCTGATAGGAATTTTAAAAGCCTACAGAAGTTCCTTTTGAAAGCTCAAAGTTCCCCTGGAATCACACTTTAAGTTTTTGTTTTTCTGTGTATGGAATGCTTCTGTATTTTCCAGAGAAATTTCAGAACAAACTTCCATGGACATACTATTCTACAATCTAATCAGAACTTGAAATTACTCCACCTTTGAAATCTCAAGGCCCACCGGTCTGTTTTCTGACCACCCCTCTCAGTCTGCCCAGCTGCCATTCTCTACGTCCTAGAGCACCTCATAGAGAGCACCAGTTCCCAAGCCTGCCTCCATCACCACGGCCACCTGCTCAGTTCAGATACCCTCATCTCTTGCCCCAATTCCTGCAGCAGCCACCGCCTTCTGCCCGGAACCAGGTCTTTCCATTCTCCTGGCCCTCTGATGTGTCCCCCAACATAGCAGTAGTTTCCATAACTCATTCTGCCTGGTGCCCAGCAGATCTTTCTGTTGGGAGTTTTACTGGATTGCAAATTGCCTCATGTCTCTGGGCCTGGGCTCTGCTTCCTATTCCAGGACATCAGCAGACCCAGACTCACTTGAACTGAGAAGCAGTAGAAATTACTGGCCTTATTTTTTCAAAGTTAACATTGTTATTGTTTTTAAGGGTGACATTCTGAAACACCTTAGAGCCTGGAGTCAGCACTTCATCGTCACATGGGCCAAAAGCATATCTCTAATAGAAACTTCTAAGAAGGCTCTGATGACAAGGACTGAGACTTTCTATTAAAATATGGTGTATGAAAAGCTATTTGTCGAGAAAAACAATATGAGGAAAATTGGCCAAAAAATTGCATTTCGTCTCCCATGGTAAATGAAACTTGGTGCAACAGCCTCTATAAATGATGTAACACTGCCTTGTAGTGAGAAGTTGAAGAGCTCTTGTCAAATAATAACAGAAAGCTTTAAACTTAAAGTTATGTAAATCTGAAGGAATTCTCTTACAGTCCTGCTAATAACCCTGGCGTGGTACACCCAGTACAGGCCACTAGAGCTGTTTTGTGAAAATTGTTGAATTGTTTATTTTGATTTTGTTTGTTTGTTTCCCCTCTGCCCTTTCACATTCAATTTTAAATTTTTTATTTGCTTTCAGTTTCTCTCTCTCTCTCTCTCTCTCTCTCTCTCTCTCTCTTTTTAATTTGAGACAGGGTCTTGCTCTGTTGCCCAGGTTGGAGTGCAGTGGTGCGATCTCAGCTCACTGCAGCCTCAACTTCCCGGGCTCAATCAATCCTCCTGCCTCAGCGTCCCATGTAGCTGAGACCACAGGCATGCCACCATGCCCAGCTAATTTTTGTATTTTTTGTAGAGACAGGTTTTGCCATGTTGCCCAGGTTGGTCTTAAATTCTGGAGCTCAAAGGATCCACCCACTTCAGCCTCTCAAAGTGCTGGGATTACAGGTGCAAGCTACCACACCTGGCTGAAAAATGTTGATTATTTTTTATAATCCACCATCTCTAACAGACCCTCGCCATAGCTTCACTCCAGGGTCTTCTTGTTTTATAAAATATGAAGGAGTAGCTGTCAGTAGGATGAGGGTCCAGAGGTAGTAAATATTACCTGTACTATTAGCCACCCAATTGGAGTCAAAAGGTGATCTGTCATGTCTAAGATTGATGTCATCTAGTAGTTGAACAAGGACTTCACATAAGACAGCGAAAGTGAGGCCCGAGCACTGACCTTCATTGTTGGTGCCTTATTTCCATGCAAATGACCATCAACCACCAGTTTAGGGTCCAGAACTCTGGACTTGTGTTTCCATCTGCATCCTGGATACCTTCCATCTTAGGTAAGTTCCAACAAAAAATTTCTCAATGGTGCGTGTTTTCCATTTCTTACAGCACGGAGCTATTTTTATTAAACGATGGAATGTTATTACCATCTGTAAGTCTGCAGTCCTATATTCCACCACAGTCTGACCTAATTCTGCCAGAATCTGGAGCACGGCAGAACCTGAGAGTGGTCGACGGGACCAGCAGGATGAGAGTGAGTATCTATAGTAAGCCTCTTTGCTGTCTTTGAGTTCTCCCTGATCTCACTCCATTTTTTAATATTTATTTTGTTATTTTTAGAGTCGGTATCTTGCTGTCACCCAGACTGGAATACAGTGGTCCAATCATGGCTCACTGTAGCCTTGAATATCCTAGGCTCAAGCAACCCTCCCACCTCAGACTTCTGAGTAGCTGGAACTACAGGCACACACCACCACGCCTGGCTGAGTGGTTGGAACTTTTTTTTAAGAGAGTTTTAAGAGAGGTGGGGTTTTGCTATGTTGCCCAGACTGGCCTCAATCTCCGGGCCTCAAGCAACACCCCCTCTTTCAGCCTCTTCAGTTATTGGAATTAGAGGCGTGAGCCACCAAGCCCAGCTCTGACTCCATTTTTGAACTTCCTTTATTTCAGAAGCCTTCGTCATTTCAGAGAGTGATCATAAACTGAGCCTCTGCACTCCCCGACACCTTTCCCATGTAATCCATGAAAAGATTGAGTTTTCTGCTTTTATCCCTAGGCTAGACTAACCTTTCATGGTCCTTTCCCAGACCAAAGGTTAGAAAAGAATTCCCACTTCTCACATTTCATGTTAAACAACATGTCCCCAGATTGTCAAGTCATACTTAAAATAAAATAACTGGGCCAGGTATAGTGGCCAGGTATGAATTACAGTGGTTCATGCCTGTAATTTTAGCACTTTGGGAGGCTGAGGCAGGAGGATAGCTTGAGGCCAGGAGTTTGAGACCAGCCTGGGCAAGATGGCGAGACCCAGTCTCCACAAAAAACAATGTTTAAAATAAAGTAAAATAATTGGTATACTGAAGATGACTCAAAATTAGAGTTTCTCTTTAATGTTTCTATGAACGATGTTATTCTAAAACATCCAGTGATTCACTTTCCCCTTAATAATTAGAATTAGTTAACCCAGCTGAGAGAGTAACCCACATCTCTGCCTACTGGCTCAGTGGCATGAGGAAAACAAAATGGCGACTGAGCAGTCTTAACTTCCAACTTAACAAGTCTGCAACTATGTTCCCTATTGGAAGCATTTTCTCCCTTGGGAACTAAGGCTTCTAAATCTGCAAGGAATAAGACAGTGGGGACAATAAGCAAATATTCTTTAACTGGATTATTAGATGTATTCATGAGAAGGGCCACTCTTACTCCACCCTCCTCCTTCCTATGCTTGTATGTCCCTGCTATGGAGAAAATAACCTCAAATATTGGCTGCTGATGTAAAGAATGTACTGTTCTTCCATTTGTTAGGGTGCTGTATTTCTGCTGGCGCCATAACTGACCTCTCAGTAACCATGACCTTCATAGGTAATTCTCTCAAGCCAGCTGTTTCTGGGTAATAACATATATCCTAAGGTTAACATAAATCTCATGGTATGAGCCTGTTGCCACACCACTTCCACTATAAAATTAGCCTCTTGGTCAGATGTATGGGATACCATGGTGGTAAAGATGACACTCTTGGCTGGGTACAGTGGCTCCTGCCTGTAATCCCCGGGCTATGGGAGGCCTAGGCAGGAGGATTGCTTGAGGCAATCCACACATGCTTTCCAGCTTTTCCAGCTTTAATGCTAGTCTCTACTCATTCTTACCACCAACCATGAAAAGAATCCTTTCTTTAAACCAACCTGGGCAACATAGCAACATCCTGTCTCTACAAAAAATTTAAAAAGTTAGCCAGGCATTGTGGCGTGTGCCTCTAGTCGCGGCTACTCTGGAGGCTGAGGTGGGAGAATATCTTGAGGTCGGGAGGGCTCATATTGGAAGCTACAGTGAGCTATGATTACAACATTTCACTCTAACCTGGGTGATAGAGCAAAACCTTGTCTCGAAAAAAAAAAAATGACATGGTTCTGGTAGAAGCATTAAGAACAAGGAAAAAAAAACTCTGGAAACATATCTATTCCCATGAGAGCACTTTCTGTCCTCAATGAAGGAAGGGTTCCTATGAAATCAGTTACCACCAGAGATTCCTGGCTAGTTTCTCTGGGGAATGGTGCCATACTGGGGACTCATCCTTGGCCTCTGCAGTTGGCAGCTGGGCACTCACTAGTGGTGGTAGCCAAATAAGCTTTGGTGAGAGGAAATAGATGTGGTTAAGCTTGTGCACAGCTTCCATCTCTTCCATCTTGACACTTTGTACCTGGCCCATTGAGCAGCAACTGGAGGGGCTGGGGAAGGAGGCCAACTGTCACCTACACATCCAGTCATCTTGTCCACCTGATCACTGAGTGACTCATCTTCAGTGGATGATCCCTGTTGGACATTTTTATGGGACATGATTGCCTTCATACTCTATTCCCATTCCAAGAGGCCCATCTACGTATCTTTTCTCTGGGTCATCCATGTCATGAAGCCATAGAGGCCATAGGAGTGGGTGAAGGAGAGACACTAAACAATGGTGAATCATGCAACCAATGGAAGTGGTTCAGTCAATTACTAAGTATGTCTATTTTAACTATATATGCAGGAACAAAGGAAATACCTAGATTCATTGGACCCACTGTCCTGTGATGGACTAAGGCCAAGAATCCGTTTATCACATGACCTCCATAAGCTGTTGTTCTGACCAGAAGACCAGGTTGGCATTTTGTACCACCAATGATTAGTACAACCTCAGAACCAGCGTATAATAGCTTCCAAATGGTCTGGGTATTTTCTCTCCCAGTGCACAGTCATTTTAGTAAGTGGCTGTAGGCCTTTCCAGGGGAGGCTTGGAGGAAAGTTTGTTTGTAATATATACTTACTGCCACATTGCAAGGTCTTTCCTTAAATGGACTGAGCCTTTCTCTCAATCAATGAACTATAGGCCTGCAAACTGTCTTAGGTTTAATAATTGGGTATGAGGCAGTAAATTCCCACTGTGGTGACTTGAATCAGGTTTCTATTTTTCAATTATATAGATAAAGTCACATCTTAGTAGACTGCCCATCTATTCGTTTCTAAGAACCCTACCATCAGTTAGTTGCTACCACCGATCTTTGAAGGTCAAAGCATTCTAATAGCCTTTCTGTCCCTGCAACCTATTACCCGTTCTCAGGTGGCATCTCCCACTACCATCTTTGGCAATGCTTTTTGGGATGCCCATCAGGTACACATATCTTAGCGCCATGGGAAATGGAGCATCCTCTGAAACTTTCTAGGGTCATGGATGAGGGTGGCTGGGAAAATTGCACATTTAGGTCTACTCCAAGATTCTCATCTTCCTGAGATTTTGGATCTTTGACACCTTAGTCTCATTGACTCTATACCACCACTGAATCCCGGCTTCAGTAAACTAGTCAAGCAAGTTTTTAAAGCCACTTGTGAGCACTCAATTAATTACTATAGCCTGAATCCATGTAAGTACACTCCTGTTGATAATTTCATGACTATCAAACTTACATTTCATCCTCTTTGGTCCATGCACTTAAAATTCATTCTTACATAAGCTTTCCAGCTTTTCCAGCTCTAATGCTACTCTCTACTCATTCTGACCACTAACCATGAAAAGAAAGAAATCAAATTTGGAACTTTCAAAATAACACAGAATAAATTTTTTAAAATGCATCTAAACTCTTGATGGACAGGACCCTTTGGGCTCACACTGATCACTGTGCGTAGAATGTCCTCCCATTTCTCTCTGATTATCAAACCTTTCATGGTTGCATTGAGGAACTCTCTTTTCCCCGTAAACCTGGAAATAAGAGCTCCCCAGAAGAGTTAATGCTTTAAAACAGCACATAATAGGGGCTGGGCATGGTGGCTCACACCTGTAATCCCAGCACTTTGGGAGGCCAAGGCGGGCGGATCATGAGGTCAGGAGTTTGAGACCAGCCTAGCCAATAAAGTGAAGCCCCGTCTCTACTAAAAATACAAAAATGAGCCAAGCATGGTGGCGGGTGCCTGTGGTTGCAGGTACTTGGGAGGCTGAGGCAGGAGAATCACTTGAACCTGGGAGGCGGGGAGGTTGCAGTGAGCCGAGATTGCGCCATTGACTCCAGCCTGGGCGACAGAGCGAGACTCTATCTCAAAAACAACAACAACAACAACAACAACAACAACAACAAACACCAGCACATAATGAATCAGAGCAGGAACATTAAAAAAAGTCATTTTAAGGAAAAGTGGAGACCCAGGCTGGCAGGACTTGATTTTATTTACATCAGTGGTTCTTAATTCTGTTTGGATAATAAATTACACTGAGAGTCTGATAAAAGCTATACACATTCTCCAGAGAAAATATGCATAGACACGAAATTTGCATTTAATTTCCAAGTGCTCAAGAATCCTAGTTATACAGACTGGACGTGCCTGTAGTTCTAGCACTTTGGGAGGCCCAGGCAGGAGAATTACTGGAAGATAAGGCAGGAGGATCACTTGAGCCCAGGAGTTCAAGACCAGCCTAGGCAACATAGCAAGATCCTGTCGCTACAAAAAATAAAAATTTAGCCAGGCTTGATGGCAAGCCTGAGCCCTAGCTACTCAGGAGGCTGAGGCAGGAGGATCATAAGAGTCCAGGAATTTGAGGCTGTAGTGAGCTAGGATCATGCCGCTGCACTCCAGCCTGGTAACAGAATGAGACCCTGTTCCTAAAAAAAGAAAGCATCTCTAGTTATCCAGTTCATAAACCCATAGTTAAGAACCCCATGCCTGTGTGGACTAGTTCAATGTATTAAAAGCATTTAAGAGTCACAAAGACACACACTATCAGTGTCCATCCAATATTATCCATGGCAGCGAGGACTCTGCACCAAGAAATTCATAAATGTTCTGGTGCTGGGAATAGGATGGGAGTGTCACCTTCATTTGGCCTGAAACCATTAACCATTCAACTCATCAAATTCCCTTTGTTTTGAATTCATGCATGCCACATAAACTTCTGATTATAATCTGGCTCCTTGGGTAGCTGCCTGAAGGGCAAAAGTGCTCTGATTGGAGAATATGAGTGCCCAGACCCCTCTGCAGAAAGAGTTCCAGTATGAATTAACAAACTGGCATTCTGGGGTTTAATACTGCATTTTCTGTGAGATTGATTGATGACAGTCCACATGTTAAAGATGATTCTAGGTTTCTGAACTTGTGTGGCAGAGAGAAATGCTTAGATAGAAGATTTGATCTGTGTTTCTAAGCCTGTAAGGCAAAGAGAATATAATGTATTTGCCAAATTTCTAATTTAAACCACTCAAATGTATTGTCTTAGGACAAAGAGTCTGCCAGAGTCCCTGACATTATTAATTTTATTCTGGGTCTAAATGAGAAGAACCATGTACAGAATTTCACACTCTTCTGCAAAACAAACGGCTTTAAGTTATTTATATACATTTAGGAGTTACCGATACCAGTTACAGTCATGCAGTTTCCCTTGACAACCAATTATTATGCAGTGCTTTGGGATTCAAGGTTTCCTACCATAAGAAATAATCTTAACATTTTGAAAACCCAATGTGCTTAAGGAGACTTTTCAGATTATTTTACAAAGTTGTTTTTTTTAAGGATATAAAATATTGAACAGGATGGCTACAAATAAAAATCCTTTATGTGGACTATAGTCTTGTGATTACTTTCACTTTCATATTTCTCTAACAAGATCTTCGGAATGGTTTCACAGCTCTGAATTTCATCTTAGTCTTACACCTTAATCACACTTCTCTCTCTAGAATTTCTTTTTACTGGCAACTGACAGATAAGAAGGTTGCAGTGTTTACCTTCAGCTAAATTTTTTTTTTTTTTTTTTTTTTTTTTTTTGAGACAGAGGCTTGCTCTGTCACCAAGGCTGGAATGCAGAGGTGTGATCTCGGCTCACTGCAACCTCCACTTCCTGGGTTCAAGCAATTCTGGTGCCTCAGCCTCCTGAGTAGCTGGGATTACAGGCGCACCCAGCTAATTTTTGTGTTTTTAGTAGAGACAGGGCTTCACCATGATGGCCAGGGTGGTCTTAAACTCCTGACCTCAAGAGATCTCCCTGCCTCAGTCTCCAAAAGTGCTGAGATTACAGACGTGAGCCACCGTGCCTGGCCCAGCTAAGATTGTATTAGCCAGAACTCAATGAGCAATGCAAGGCTTGTAGAAACCTACGAATTAATAAATCAAATATGAAAATAATAAATTGAAAGAAAAATATGTCACTCATATGTCATCCAGCACATGAACTCTCTCCTCAATCAAGTCTAACCCCTCAGTGTGGTGTCTAAGGCCTTCCACAAACTGTCCCCTACTCATGTATCCAGCTTGCCCTCAATCCCAGCTCATCTCTGTTTCTGCCGGGCAAACCGTTTTTGTGTGGGTTGCCTCAGAAGCCGACTACGAGTTGGAAGCGCAGTTTTGAAGAGAGGTGCAGGAGCCCCCTGCAGGAGAGATAGAGAAATGACTTAGGGAAGCCAGTGAAGGGAGCATCATTAAGCAGACTGCCACAGAGTGCAACTAGAGCTTAACGCCACGGAAAATTCTGATTAAAGGTATAAAACACACCCCCTGAGAATCATCTCACTAGGGATACAAGGGAACTGGGGTACTTTATACCAACTCTCGTCAGTAGTTGGTTGAGGGCTGCTTGCTAGAGGGAGTGTTTGTTCCCCAGCACTTCTAGCCTGCAGAACTTGGGTGGGTAAGACAGCTTTCCGTGGTTCTGGAAACAGTCCTCAGGTACAGAGATGCAACAGATACAGAGATAGCAGTGTCTGAGGGGAAAACAGGCAGACACTGAGAGTCTCTACCACATCTGGCCCCTTCCCTAAATAAGTCTGTACATTCCCAGTTTTTCTCCTCAGAAAACTATCTACTTTTCTTCTTTCAGAGTTGTCTCAAAATCCTTCTCTCTCAAGAAACCTTCCCTGAGTAACTCTAACCCATTCTGAGAGCAGGTGCGAAGCGTATGTGCCTTGAATGAATGAGGAACGCTCCTTCTATGTGGACAAGTTAGATACAAGTGCCCTCCTTTGAGCAGACGCGGCCCCTGGGGACCACAGCCTGGCAAGCAGACAACATCTTTGTGAGAAGAAAATGGCACTCCTTCTGAAGCAGCTCCTGCTGGTGCACACAGCGTGGGGAGTGACAGAGGGACTGGGCTTCAGTCCACATGCACCCTCTCAGCCAGGCATCTTTACACAGTGCACGAACTAGACAACAGTACCAAGGAAGCCCTGTTTACTGTGATCATTCATTTTCTCCACAGCTGTCCAGAACTTACACATACTTAAACATAGTGGAGTCTTCCAGCAGAGCTCCATCAGATCAGATACTGAATGTGTAAATCTGGCAGCAGCTGCCTAAACATCTATTTGTGTTCGTTAATGTGTGTTGTGACTAAAGGAGAGGGGAAATTAGGTGATCCAGAACCAACTGGGCGAAGACACAGGAAAACAGGAAATTGAAAATGATATCTTGCCTGTGTTCCAACTGTTCCTAGATACTTTTCCCTGGGGGCTATGAAATATTCTTCACCAGAGATCATGGAACAGGATCTCTGACTAAACCTGACATGCCGAATAGCCATTGTATTTCATCTTCAAAATGATACAGGAGAAAGAGGTGACAAATGGAAAGGAAGTATGCTACCCACAGTTCAGAGCCTGTGGGGAAATCTACAAGGAGTAGCAGTCCTGAATGGGTTCTCTGATGTGCTGTTTCCAAGTGAGTATCAGTTCACCATGTGCAATGCTGAAGTTCAGTAGTCTGTTTTTCTTTGAACATCTAAAATTACATTTATGACATTATAAAAATTAATTAGAATTTCACTTAAAATTGCTTCACCTATCACTGAAACTATTTTAGTGTTGGTGTGGTCTTTCTTTGGACTATCCTCATTCGTTAATATGCATGTATAGTTTTTACATAGTCATCATTTTAATAGTCACATAATTTCTCAACACCTATTATTCAAACCTGCTTCTTTCTTTTTACTCTCAAAAGTAATTTTCTATAAACATCTTATTTATGTATATTTATAACACATTGGGAAGTTAGTCATCACTGGCCATCTTCTATGTTTCACACCTGGAAAGTCAAAATTTCCTGGTGTCTAGCTTTTGCAGTCCTTCCCCATAGCCAAGTTTATGCCACTGGCCTTTGTCGCCCTACCCCAGGCTGGGGGTTGATTCCTGACCTGGAATGTGAGGTAGTCAGCATGTCTAGCTCAACACTCATTGACACTGCAGTCACTGCTCTGGTACCTTTGATACTTGGCTAGACACCAGGCTGGGCTCAGGGAACTACAAAGATGGGCCAAACAGGTTCCTGTTCTTAAGTATTTCCTTACCTTGAACTTTCTGGGTGCTGTTTTTCATACCCATACCCATCATGCTAACTCAATAAAACAGAATCATTAGAAGTAGAACAGAATGTCCCATCAGAGCCTAAATGGACCAGGGAAATACAGAACTATGGCCTTCCACTGTGAATTACCCCTCACAAGGGACATCTGTTTTAAGGACTTGATTTCACAGTTTTCATTTCCAACAAAAATCTGACTAAAGGAAAAAAAAGGTGGTTAACACAGTCAGGGGAACTGAATGGGATGGGAGAGGGAGGCGGGAAATAGAATATTCCTGCTCATCAACTGTCCTGAGGAACCGGTTTCACCATTTTAACAAGGGACCATGTGGGACCAGGCAGCCAGTTGAGCTGCCCCAGGGGCCAGGGGACAATGACATGATATGGTTAAATTTTAGAATTTCTGAAGGGATGTTACTTCCCTACTTGGAATATTTGGTTATTCACTCCCACATCCCCTCCTAATTACCACCACTTCCCCAGTCCTCAGCCCGTCCTTCACCTTCCCCTAAATTCTCATTTTCAGGAAAGACTCAGGTTAATTTAGATTCCAGGTTTTTAATCTTCTTATGCATTTACCCTACAAATTCTCCGGTTTCCTGATTGGGAGCTCTGACCTTGTTGTTTGTTTTGGTTTTTTTTGAGATGGTGTCTCACTTTGTTGCCAGGCTGGAGTGCAGTGGCTTGATCTCAGCTCACTGCAACCTCCGCCTCCTGGGTTCAAGCGATTCTCCTGCCTCAGCCTCCCGAGTAGCTGGGACTACAGGCGTGCTCCACCACGCCCAGCTAATTTTTGTATTTTTAGTAGAGACGGGGTTTCGCCATGTTGGCCAGATGGTCTCAATCTCTTGACCTTATGATCCACCCACCTCAGCCTCCCAAAGTGCTGGGATTACAGGCATGAGCCACCGTGCCCAGCGTTTTGTTTTTGTTTTTGTTTTTTAAGACAAGGTCTCACTCTGTCACTCAGACTGGAGTACAGTGGGGCGATCTTGGCTCACTACAGCCTCTGCCTCCCAGGCTCAAGCGATTCTCCTGCCTCACCCTCCTAAGTAGCCAGGATTACAGGCTTGTGCCACTACCACCCAACTAATTTTTGTACTCACTTGTTTTATTGGAGTTTATCTTCAAGTAACTTCCTCCTAAGGGCTATGTTGGCGGTAAAAATTCTGATTCCTTGTTTGTCTAAAAATATCTTTAGTCTACCTTCACACTTGACAGAAAATTTGGCAGAACATAAAACTAAAATTGAAAACCTTTCCCCTCGGAACTTAAAGTCATTATTCTGTTGTCTCTAGCACCTAGGACAACAGACTAGCAGTTCCAAGTGAGTCTAATTCCCAAGTTTAATTTGAAAGTCACTTTTTTTTTTCCATCTTTGAAGTTTTTTAAAATCTCCTCTTTTTTCATGGAGTTCCGAAATTTCACAATGATTTATCAAGATGAGAGTCTCTTTTATTCATGTGCTTGGAACATGATGGAACCTTTTAGTCTGGTGATCTGTGTCCTTTAGTTCTGGTCAATTCTTCTCTAGTATCTCTCACTGCTTGTTTTACCCATTTGTAATTTCTAGAGTTTCTGTGACTCTGATGTTGATAATCTTTTTCTCTCATGTTTTCTGTCTATCTTACAGTACTTCTATTGCATTATTTATTTTATCAATTGTATCTTTTTTTTTTTTTTTTTTTTTTTTTTTTTGAGGCAGAGTCCCACTCTGTCACCCAGGCTGGAGTTCAGTGACATGATCTCGGCTCACTGTAAACTCCACCTCCTGAGTAGTTGGGATTACAGACGTGCGCCACCACTTCTGGCTAATTTTTATATTTTTAGTAGAGACAGGGTTTCACCATGTTGGCCAGGCTGGTCTCGAAGTCCTGACCTCAGGTGACCTGCCTGCCTTGGCCTCCCAAAGTGCTGGGATTACAGGTGTGAGCCACCTTGCCCTGCCAATTATATCTTTAGATCCTAAGAGCTGGGTTGTTCTTTTTCATAGCCTGTTGTTCTTGTTTTCCTTTGTTTTGTTTTTTATTTTAGAGACAGGGTCTCATTCTGTTTGCCAGGCTGGAGGGCAGTGGCACAAACACATTCACTGCAGCCTTGACCTCCCAGGCTCAAGTGGTCCTCCCACTTCAGCCTCCCAAGGAGCTGGGACTACAGAAGTGCACAATCATGCCTGACTTTTTTTTTTTTTTTTAATTTTTAATAGTGACAGGGTCTCCCTATGTTGCCCAGGCTGGTTTTGAACTCCTGGGCTCAAGCAATCCTCCTGCCTCAGCCTCCCAAAGTGCTAGGATTAGAGGCGTGAGCTACTCGCCACCGGCCTTGTTCTTGTTTTTCATAGCCTCTTGGTTACTCTATTTCATCTTGCAGGCTTTCAGATGCCTGGCAGTACTTCATTTATTTTTAAGAATGAGCCATAAATACTTAACTGGGACTCTATGAGCATGTACTGGGCTCATTTATTGGAGGGATTTGTTCTAGGCTGATCTAGTAACCAGCTAACAAGAGTGCAGATGTTAGAGAAGCATGTTCTAAATATCTGCTTGACAGATGCCTGCCTGCTAGGGTTTCTGTGTGTGGGTGGTGCAGGAGAGGGTGCAAGAAAGGTACAGTGTTCCATCTATAGAACTTCAATTTATTTCCCAGTTTTCATGGGTGAGTCGTCTTTCCTCCTGTGGCTGTCCTAGCATTTCTGTGTCTTAGGGCTCTCTTGGGTTCTCAACTCTGTCCCCCACACCCTTTTGCACATTCCAGACTGCAGCTTCCAGCACCTGCCTCACCTGTAACTACTTCTTCATCCACTTTCTTTCTCTTCAAAATGCATTGAAGTTTCTCTTACACTGATATCCTCTCTCTTATTTTCTCTTTGCTGTGGGTTTATAACTTTTTAAATTTTATTTATTTATTTATTTTTATTATTATTATTTTTTTCTGAGATGGAATCTCGTTCCGTCGGCCAGGCTGGAGTGCAATGGCGCAATGTCGGCTTACAGCAACCTCCGCCTCCCGGGTTCAAGTGTCAGTAGCTGGGATTACAGGCCTGTGTCACTACGCCTGGCTAATATTTGTACTTTTAGTAGAAATGGGGTTTCACCATGTTGACCAGGCTAGTCTTGAACTCCTGAGCTCAGGTTGAGAGTAGCAGCCCTCACTCTCGGCGCCTACTCGGCCTCGGTGTCCACTGTGGCGGCGCTTGGGGAGCCCTTCAGCCCGCCACTGCACTGTGGGAGCCCTTGTCTGGGCTGGCCGAGGCCGGAGCCGACTCCCTCTGCTTGCGGGGAGGTGTGGAGGGAGAGGCGCGGGCGGGAACAGGGGCTGCGCGCGGGGCTCACAGGCCAGCGCGAGTTCCGGCGGGCGCGGGCGTGGGCCCGGCCGCGGGCTCAGGGCAGTGAGGAGCTTAGCACCCGGGCCAGCAGCTGCGGAGTGCGCCGGGTCCCCCAGCACTGCCGGCCCGCATGCACCGCGCTCGCCGGAACTCGCGCTGGCCTGTGCCGCGGCTTCATTCTTGAAGTCAGCGAGACCAAGAACCCACCAATTCGGGACACAAGGTGATCCTCCTGCCTTGGCCTCCCAAAGTGCTGGGATTACAGGCCCGAACCACCGCGCCGGGCCTTAAATTGTATTTTCTATCATGAAATGGGTTCTTATGTAGGAAAAGACACAAACACATATTTTCTATCTTGAACTAGAAGTCAAAAAGATAACTCTATAAACACTAAAAGAAAAAATAGAAAAGGACTCCAACCATTTAGTACCACCTAGCTTCTCAGAGGGAAACCCTGTGCATGCTTCATTCTGAAATGGATGTGACTATGAACAGGCTGTTCATGGCTATTCCCTGTCCTGGAGAAACCCATAGCTAAAGGGTTGAGATGAAGGGATATTCCTGATAGAGCGGATGCAATAGAAATAGCATTGGCCCGAGTTGTGACCAGGGCTCAGATATTTTACAGGATTCTCCATCTATTCTTCTCTATTCCACTCTTCTATCCCACCCCAATGATTCCTGAACATTTCAAGCAGAATCTGCCTCTCACTGAGCCCTTTCTCAAAGCTTTTCCATCAGAAGAGGGGAACTTATTGTTCACTGGCTTATTTCTCTTAAGAATTAGTCATGGTCTAGGCCGGGTACTGTGGCTCATGCCTGTAATCCTAGCACTTTGGGAGGTCGAGTCAGGCAGATCACTTGAGGTCAGGAGTTCGAGACCAGCCTAGCCAACGTGGTGTAACCCTGTCTCTACTAAAAATACCAAAATTAGCCAGGAGTGGTGGCACATGCCTGTAGTCCCAGCTACTAGGGAGACTGAGGCAGGAGAATCGCTTGAACCCAGGAGGCGGAGGTTGCGGTGAGTTGCGATCACACCACTGCACTCCAGCCTGGGTGACAGAGAGAGACTCCATTTCGAAAAGCAAAACAAAAAAACAAGTGAGTAAACCAACAAAGATGTGACTTGGGATTGAAGCCAGTAGGCTAATGAAGGGAAATCCCAGCAGGCATCCAGTCCAGATTGGAGCAGGAAGGTGTAGGACTCCAGCAGGGAGGGAGCTGGAGAATATGGACTCAAGAAATTTGATCTCCTGGAGAATTTAGAGAAAGTTAAAGAGGTGATGAAAGCCTTGTTCTCTTCTGAAAAACCATCGTCTTTCATTTCTAAAAAATTGCTTCAAAATCCTTTCCTGATGAATCTACACTACCATTTTCTCCTCTTCTCTGTATCCATTCCAGGAAGTGCTCAGGAGATGGATCTCTCAGAAGAGCCTACCTACTCAGAACTTGGAGGTGTCACCAGGCACAGTGGCTCATGCCTATAATCCCAGCACTTTGGGAGACCGAGGTTGGTGGATTGTTTGAGCTCAGGAGCTTGAGACCAGCCTGAGCAACACAGTGAAACCCCATGTCTACCAAAAATACAAAAATTAGCCAGGCATGGTGGCCCGCATCTGTAGTCCCAGCTACTCTGGAGGCTGAAGTAGGAGGATCGCTGGAGCCTGGGAAGTTAAGGCTGCAGTGAGCCATGATTGCCCCTCTGCATTCTAGTCTGGGTGACAGAGCAAAACCCCTGTCTCAAAAAAGAAGAAAAAGGAGAGGGAGAGGGAGAGGGAGAGGGAGAGGGAGAGGGAGAGGGAAAGGGAAAGGGAAAGGGAGGGGGAGGGGGCTGAGGAGGAGGGGGAGGGAGGGAGACGGGGAGAAGGAGAAGGAGAAAGAGAAGAAGGAGAAGGAGAAATTGGGAGTGTGAGGCCTGACATTTTATCCTAGGGTTCTGTTTAAGAGAATTGATACATATGAGGGGAGGGGAGATGGGCATTGAGGTTGAAGGTAGTTGGGGTTGAAGGAAAATTACAAGGAAATGGAGAATTACATGGTATCTATTCCCCAATTAGCTCAAGGCCCTTCTCCAATCAGCAATTTGATTTAAGTGGGGCTCTGCTCTCAAGTCTAAGGGTGGCCCATATAAGCCAGGCTTAAGATAACACGAACCACTCACCAATGACCTGACTGGTTAAGAGGTAACACTTGCCCCAAGATGCCCCATCATAGGGAGTCTTATGACTTTAGATGGAAAAGTTGAGGCAAAGATTTTCACACTTTCCTGCTGGACATGAACGTGCAATGATGTTGCCCCAGAAGTTGCCAAAAGTCATATCAAAACCACAGGAGAGAGACACTCAACAACATTAGTGTGTTGGCGAATGAGACCAACACACACTGGGGAGCAGAGCCAAAGGACAGAGGGGATACATGTCCTGATTATTGTTCACAAGTTCCTGTCTCAGCCACACCTGTAGCCAGCCTTAATCTGGAACTTTTGTATTGTGTGAGCCTATCAATCCACTTTTTGCTTACAATGAAAATATTCTTGCATACAGTGAAAATATTCTTTTTTTTTTTCTTTTTTTTTTTTTTTTTTTTTTGAGACTGAGTCTGGCTCTGTCGCCCACGCTGGAGTGCAGTGGCCGGATCTCAGCTCACTGCAAGCTCCGCCTCCCGGGTTTACGCCATTCTCCTGCCTCAGCCTCCGGAGTAGCTGGGACCACAGGCGCCCGCCACCTCGCCCGGCTAGTTTTTTGTATTTTTTAGTAGAGACGGGGTTTCACCGTGTTAGCCAGGATGGTCTCGATCTCCTGACCTTGTGATCCGCCCGTCTCAGCCTCCCAAAGTGCTGGGATTACAGGCTTGAGCCACCGTGCCCGGCTGAAAATATTCTTAACTGATATAAATTGTTTGTATGCATTCACATATTGATTTTTAACTTTTAGATTGAACAGAAGGTATTACGGCAAAAGAAGAGACTATCAATGTTTTCATTTTATTTTATTTATTTTTATAAGACGCAGTATCATCAAGCAATATCAGTGTTTTTAACTTTGACAATATCAACATAAAAGTACAGATGCTAGAAACAGAGGTGAAAGATAAAAGGAAAAGTAAACAAAGAACAAGAGCATCAATACCTTAAAAACTTGGGGTCAAGAAACAGCCCATAGGCAACGAAACAAGAAATAAAAGTGTAAGTTCGGATTTAAAGTTACAGAAGTAGTAAATAAAGGAACCCCAAACAATGTTATAAGCAAATTGGGAAGACGAGGAAGGAGAGTAAAAGATATGTACCTTAGGACCTTTGAGAAAATGGAGTTCAGTTCTAAAACCACTAAAGCAAAGCAAAACAAAACAAAATTTATTTGACCTCCAATCGTGAAGAAAAAAACAATTTTTTCGAGTACCAAGTAAAAGGGAAAAAATTAAAGGGAAGGAAAATAGATTTAAATGGTAAGGTCCAGACTGAGGAAACTAGAGGAGAAATTGGAATGAGACTGAGAAATGGTATTCATCTGTATGCTGCTGTTATAGCGTTTGGTACTCGCTTTGAGGCTACTCTAGGATGGCTGGCATTTCTTTTTCCTTTTGGATGATTGATGTGCAACCAATGCTTGTGAGTCAGATCATCTGGATGTGCACACTTGGTAGCCAGCCCAAGGATGCTTCAGCTGAAGTTAAAAGAGAAAATGAATTGGAGACTTATAAATTGGGGGAATAAAACTAATGAAAATGTGGCTTGGTGTGACTGTTGTTTACATCAGTGTTGGTGAGAAAATAGAAAAATTATCAGCCGAGAGGAGGGATATTTAATAGTATCTCACATTAGAGAAAAGTAACAACCACCTTGATAAAGGTAGTGGTAACTTGGAGCATGATATGATATAGATACACGATATGATGTACTCATGACTCCTTCATGAAAGGGAGAGTGGGGGAGAAACAAAAAGAAAATGCATGCTAGGTCATCAAAGTGACCTGAGAAAACTCCGATATTGATCTGCCTTCTCCTGGTTGATGAGTGGCACCAGCCTAGGTCCCAAATTTTGACTCTTAATATTTTTCTCTTGGAAGAACTAAGGTTCTTGGGAAAAAAACTGATTCCACCTTTTGAAGTAGAAAGCATTTCATACTGAGCCTGGAACTTCCTGTCATTCAAGAAAGCAGAGTTGTGAGTGGCCAAAGAGTGACCACATAAACTCCAGAGAGGGAAAAAATGACCACAGTGAATCAGAACTAACTGAGTATATTGAAAGAACTGTGAGTCCACAGGCATCCTAAATAGTTAGAAGGAAGACTTCACAAAGGGAACTAAAAGGTAGTGATAGCCTGGCGCAGTGGCACACTCTTGTAGTCCCAGCTTCTTGGGAGGCTGAGACAGGAGGATCACTTGAGCCCGGAAAGTGATCGTGCCACTGCACTCCAGCCTGAGCAACACAGTGAGACTCTGCCTCAAAAGATGAAAATACAGGTAAAAAGAACAAGAAAAAGTAGTGATAATGTGCACACTTGCTTGCAAAATTATTAAAGTTTTGTATTGATCAGCCCAAACTATGTGAGTCATACACTGGTATTTTGGTCATACTCCAGAAAATAAAATTTAGGAGTAGGTTTAGAGAGAAAAAAATCTTAGAAAGGCACATATCAAACATGGAAAGTTTTTTGTTTGTTTGTTTGTTTGTTTGTTTTTTTAAACGGAGTCTCACGTCTGTTGCCAGGCTGGAGTGCAGTGGCACGATCTCAGCTCACTGCAACCTCTGACTCCCTGGTTCAAGCAATTCTCCTGCCTCAGCCTCCCGAGTAGCTGGGATTACAGGCACCTGCCACCATGCCCAGCTATTTTTTGTATTTTTAGTAGAGACAGGGTTTCATTATGTTGGCCGGGATGGTCTTGATCTCTTGACCTCGTGATCTGCCCGCCTCGGCCTCCCAAAGTGTTGGGATTACAGGCGTGAGCCACCACGCCTGTCATTTTATTTTATTTTGTTTGAGACAGAGTCTTGCTCTGTCACCCAGGCTGGAGTGCAGTGGCGTGATCTCGGCTCACTGCAAGCTCCACCTCCACCTCCCGGGTTCAAGTGATTCTCTTGCCTCAGCATCCCAAGTAGCTGGGACTACAGGCTCACGCCAGCACAACCGGCTAATTTTTTGTGTTTTTATGGAGATGGGGCTTCACCATGTTGGCCAGGCTGGTCTCGAACTCCTGACCTCACCCCTGAGGTCTGCCTGCCTTGGCCTCTCAAAGTGCTGGGATTACAGGCATGAGCCAACGCGCCTGGCCAAAAATATTTTTTAAACTAAGAGTGTACTTGTAGAAGGCGGGGGTATACTTGTAGAAAGTGAGGGTAATTTTATGGATAAGGGCAGTGCTATGGAAGATGGAAAATGTAAGTAAAAGGTAGAGAAATATTAGCTAGGCAATACTGAACAGAGAGGAAGTCTACTGTGATGGAAGAAGGGAAGGTATCAAGATTAATTAATAGTAATAAAAAGCACAAAGCCAGTAAACTCAGGTTGTTGCATACAGGTCACCGAATCCTTCTGAAGAGTGGGCTCAAAGGAGGAGGGAGGTTTGCATAGCTCTTGGAAAAAGTGGGAAACCGTCTGGGCTAGCAGTGTCAGGCTGAACAAGCTCAAATAAGTGCAAAGTCAGTTAAGGTAAAAGAAGGAGTTGGTGTCACAGCAAAAGAGAATAGGAGAAATGTCAAGAAATTAAAAATAGTCTCTTTTTCGTAAGAAGATAAAGAATCAAAGAGTTATGTAAAATAGGTAAGGGAATGAAAAGAAAAATAGAAGAATATGAAAGTTTGTCTAAGTGTAATGGTGTCTTAGAAATAAGTAGACATGTACCAAGTGCAAGCAAAGAATAACGGTCCCCTGCCAAACATACAAACAAAAGACAACGAAAAAGAAGACAGCCCAGCCTAACTGAATGAGACGTCCTTCAGGGAGGAAGGAGGAGCTTATGCATTCAGAACAGGACACATCCCCCATGCTGGCAGGACCCCCGTCCTCTCTCAGCAAGGTTGAGTGGGAACCCCTGAATGGGCACACTCTGGACAAGAGCTCACATTCCTGCTTCCCTAAACACTTGCAGTTGCTGCGTCACTCTGTACCTGGGACGAATCTCACTAGGCCCTTTAGCCTTGTGCATGTAGCCACCACATCATCCCTCATTCCCCACCTCTAATCCCCATTCAGCTTGTGCACTATCTTTCAACCCCATCTTCCATAGCTCCTCATTGCCTGAAACCTTTCCACCGTGCTCTCTGGAGCTCAAAGCTATTCATCAGCAGAACATTCTGCACCCTGACCCTCTTTCCAAAATGTTTTCTTCATCCTCGTGTTCTAAGGATACTTCTTTCTTTGCAATCCTCTTCAGAGGTGGTTGCTTGCTGTCTCACAGCCCTTGTACCACTGGGCCTGGGGGGGAGTTAGATGTTCTCCTTGTTCCCCGTCGCTAATCCCAGATGCCCTCTCTTTCAGACTCAGTATCCACAATCCACAATCCCTCTGCCTGCA